ATGCTGGGTCAGGGAGCCTAAACATCAGGTCCCAGCCAAGGAAACCCATGCCAGGGACTCCAATAGCAGGAATTTATTAAAGGAGATTTGTTACTATAGTGTAAGAAGAGCTGAAAGAGCATACAAGGAAAGTGAGCAACCCCAAGATTAGCAACTGTGGGAAGAGCTGCTACCACTCCTGGGAATGAGGGCCACCTGGTGGGAGCTGGGACATGGACAGAGAGACTGCACAATAGTACTGGAACACGGAGACACAGCCACCACCAGAGGCCCTGTCCATCTGTGGACCAGGTCTCCCATTGGTGAACCCATCTAGGAACCAGCTGAGGGGGAGCCTGGGACATGCAACTGTAGGGGTCAGCCCCTGTAACACAGAATAGGGAAAGGGGAGAAATGGGCCTGGGACCAAACAGGCTGGTGACCAGCCTCAGAATGGGAAATCAGGCTGTCCCTAAAACAAAGGGCCCTGAGATCCTGGCTGACCCAACCCTGGACAGAGATAGCCCTCCCTACCTCAGCTGGTTCCCTGTCCCAGGTGGGGGTCATCGGCTCGTAGCAAAAACAGTGAGAACTGGCAGGCAGGAGACTTGCATTCTAGCCCCAGCTCTCCTAACCAGCGGTCTCCAGCCTATTTGACACCAGGGACCGGTGCTCCTATGAGAATCTAATGCCTGATGATCTGAGGTGGAGCTGAGGCAGTGATGCTAGCGCTGGGAGCGGCTGCTAATACAGATGGAGCTTTGCTTCCTCATCTCCTACTATGCGGCCTGGTTCCTAACAGGCCACGAACTGGTACCAGTCTGTGGCCCAGGGATTGGGGACCCTTGCCATAACAGCCATGCATATTTCTGAGTGGACTCTATGTGGAATGTGTGTCCTAACCTAGCGATCACAGAAGTGGTAGTTCGGATGGGATGCCCAGTACAGAGCTGGGGCTAGTGGGCAGAAAGCTATGCTGGGCCCGAGTAGAGAAGTGACAGCCTCTTTCCCGCTCCTCAGGATGGCAGGGCCTCGACTGCACCCTGCCATGTCCCAGCGGGATGTGGGGCCTGAACTGCAATGAGAGCTGCACCTGTGCCAACGGGGCAGCCTGCAGCCCCACAAATGGCTCCTGCTCCTGTACCCCCGGCTGGCTGGGAGATACCTGCGAGCTGCCCTGCCCGGTGAGTTCCCAGGGCTGGGGAGGACCCAGTGGTCTCAGCGTCCCCTCATGCCCTTTCCCTGCAGCTATTTGGTCCACAGAGGTGCAGAGAGGAGCACAGGTGGACCTTTGGATCAGGTCTCAGTCCTAGTTCATAACCTCTCTGTGGCCACTTTCCTACTTCAGGCCTCAGCCCTCTTGTGTATAAAATGGCAAATACTTGGCAGATGTAATAGCGTATCCCTTTCCTCTTGCTGCTCTCGGTAAACATTATTAGTTGACTCTGGCATATTTACCTGACCCAAAGGCAGCTTCAGAATCCATCACGACACAGTGCTACAGGACAGCCCTTACTAATCCATCAGAGTTGCCATTCCTTGATAGATCATGTCTAAGCTTCCTTCTGGTTCCAGCACTGTATAATGTTATGATCAGGGTGTGGGAGGGCTAAACCAAGCACTGTCCAGCATTAACCACCTAGACTTAACCACTGGATCTCAGTCTAAGATACAAATTAAGTTAAGCCAACTGATGTGATATTGTTGAATGAGTCCTACAGTTCTAGGTTCAAATTCTGGCTTTGCCACATTCTAGCTCTATTACCCTGAGCACGATACTTCTCCTCTCTAACCCTATTTCTCATCTTTAAATTGTGAATGTAATGGAACCATCATATAGAGTTGTGTGAAGATTAAGAGAAATGAGTCGTATAAGGCTCTTGATACCTAATGAGCACACAGCAAATGTTAAGTCACCACCTTCTTCCGCAGTAACAATAAATCAGTCATTCCTCACATATGATCTATGTGTTACAATTTGCAAAGGGCGTTTTCATTTATAATTTTAATTAATCGTCATTACAGCTTTCTGAGCTTGCCCATTGAGAAGTAGGGCAAGACCATCACCTTCCTCCTTACAAACCGCATATGCTTGTTAATATGGCCAAAGAATTTTTTGGAGTGGCTTCATGGCCACGTTGATCCTGTTATAAAAAGTGCTCCCACTGTGCCACTACCTCACTCTCTCTATATCATTGTGAAGCAGTGGCTCAGTTTTGTCATCAAAATCCAACAGAAGTGTGTGAAGTTCTGGGGATCTAGGTCTGGTCACTTCTCTCTCCCTTTCTGTCCACAGGACGGCACATTTGGGCTGAACTGCAGTGAGCGCTGTGACTGCAGTCATGCTGATGGCTGTGATCCTGTCACAGGCCACTGCTGCTGCCTGGCTGGCTGGACAGGTAACCCCCATTTGCTCTGCCAGCACCCGGGTCCTGTAAAACTGGGTTCCTGATATTTTCCTACTTCCCTTGGACTGCTCTGTCGCTGGCCACTACTTCTTGCTTCCTAAATATGCACCTTTCCCTTTACTTCCTGGGCTTCAGTTCTCCATGTTATTCAATTTAAGTACACAAATATTGATTGAGTACCTTTTAAGTGCAGGCTCTCTTCTAAGGGGTAGCAGCACACTAGTAAAGAATCAGACAAAGGCTGACACCTGGTAGATGTAGGTGTTTGCAGAGGATACGGTGGAAAGACGGACAAGGAACTTTCTCCTAGCCCAGGCTCAGACCCTTGTTCTCTACATGTGTCCTGTATATCTATCGACCCACTTCTCTCCACCCCACTGCCACCACTCCGGTCCAGCAGGCCCCATCTCTCAGCTGGTACCGCCTCAGCCTCCTATGTGGTCTCTGGGCCTCTCCTCTTGCCCAGCTGCATCCATTCTGCACATGGTAGCCAGAGTGAACTTTTCAGAACCCAGATCCATTCACATCAGTCCCTGCTCAGAATGCCTCAGTGGCTTCTCATGGCACGTATATAATATCCAAAATCCTTATCGAGGCCTGGGGCCCACATGATCTGACCCTGCCCAACTCCTCCTCCTCTCCTTTACCCCCTCCCATCACTCAGTACACTCCAGCCACATGGGCCAGCCACCTTCCGGGCCTCCGTACATGCAGTCCGCCTGCCTGGATCACTCTTTTCCTATCTCTTCACCTGATAATTCCTTTTCACCCAACAGATTTCAATTTAAAGTTTACTTCCTTTGGCAAGGCTCTCTCCCCCTGCTACAACCCACCCCCTCAACCTGGCCAAGACTACGTAAGAACTCATTTTATTAATTCTCATAATGCCCTACACTTTTCCTTTTGCAGTACATACCTCAATCGTCACTGAACTCAGACTGGAGTAACTATTTGTTTATATTCTGCCTCCCCATCTCCACCATCAGCTTTGTGGAGGCAGGGACCACATCCACCTTGTTCACCACTGTCTCCACTGCCTGGCACACACTGAGATACGGGATAACACAGTGGTTAAGAACTTGGAGCTAGAGCCAGACTGTCTGGGTTTGCGACCTTGGGCAAGTCCCTTAACCTCTAAGGACCTGAACTCTCCATCCATAAAATGCAGATAATTATAATCTTCATAACTATAGGGTTGTTTTGAAGTTTAAATGAATTAATACCTGTAAGTGTTAACAGCACAGCAAATGTAAACCAATAATACAGGAAGTCCTCAATAACGATATACTACATGAAGGAACCTATTAGCCAGTCCTAAGGTGTTGGACAGCAAGGAGAAAGAAATATAGGTGTTGCTATATAGGTGTAGGTCCTCAGATGAATAATTCACACCAGGCTGCTGTACAGCCTCTGTTCTCCACAAGCAGAAAGTCTCTGAAGAGCCCAGGGCCGGGGATATTGCTTCCTCTGCAGTATCTTCAGCCTGGCTCTCCCTGCCCTTCCGTACACTGGCACCGTAGACTCTTAGCTAGAGCCAAGTGAAAATCCACTTTAATTTTTCATTGCCTTAATTTCAAGTGAGCCGATAAGATCTTAATGACATCTGGTGCTCAGAAATTCTGTCTTTGATGGACAACCTTTCAGCCAAGCCTGTGCTGTTCTAAAGCTAATTTCCCCAAACATGGTCCCGAAGTCATTTCCGAGGAACGATTGATGTCCTGAGGTTTATCATGCGGAAGGAGACCAAGGAAAGATAGGAAGGGGCTGGGGTACAGGACCCAGCCTCTTGCTCAATGAGCCTTCCCCACCCTCCTGACTTCTCAGCCCCTGACATATTGCTTGTGCCTTGGCTCAACACCGGGTTTTCTCTGCCCTAAGTGTATGCATGTCTTTCCCCTTGCCCTCATAAGCCATAGGCTTCTTGATGACTGGCATCATGTCTAATTCATCTTGCCCTGCATGTAGTAGATGCTTATTAAATGTTTATTGAGATAAATTGAAAGAAGCTGGCCTATAACCATAAATGGCTTTTCCTCTCAAAGTGAAGGAGACCTTGAAGATGATCTACTCCGGTCTGCTTATGCTGCAGATAAGGAAAGGGAGGTGCCCAAGGTCTCAGGACATTAGTGTCAAGAGAATGGGAGACACAGGGTTGCATTTTCAGGGAGCCATTTATTCAATTAGCATTTACTGAATCAAATAATCACCAAGTCTTTATTTGGAGCTACCATGTACCCAGCGCTGTCAGGCCAGCCATAAATGACAACATTTAACAACTACAGGCTTCGGGTTTCGTAAGGCAGTTTCTCCTTCCCCAGGGTCCCCTTCAGTCAATCCATGCTGCCAGTCCAGGGTTCACCTACTGTGAGACCTTCATCAAGGGGTGAAATGTGGCCACCAAATTCTCACTGGGGAAATAACTTATTCTCTGGGGAGAATCTCCCCTCTCCCTCCACACAGACCTGTTTTCTGGAGAGTGGCATCTTAAGCCCGAAGCCTGTTGTGAAAGGGAGTTCCCAAGGGTTGGGGCAGGGGAGTGGGGCCCTAGGCTAGACTGAGGCACTGGGGGATGACCGAAGCCTGTTGCCTCTCCTTCCTCTTCATTCTCTCCAGCTGTCCTGCCGCCTCTCCTTTCCCCACCAGCCCGGGTGGGCTTGTACAATTCCAGCCTACCACTAAATTGGTCCCATTGTTCTCTCACTGCTGCTAGGACTGGCTCTGTTCTGAGCCTGAGTGTCTTCCTCCTTCTTTCTCTTTTTCATAATCCCTGTCCTTATGACAAGGCAGACATGATTTTTAAACTAATTCTGTTCCTCTCTGAGCTTCTGATATTCACCTTCCAAAGCCACATAGGTCTCCAGGGCCCACCCAGTCCATTCACCTAATTAATGTGTGTCAGACTGGAAGCCTTTTGGCTTGGGAGCAAGCCCCACCCCAGAGCTGAGGCCTCCAGCCTCAGGCCTTTTTAAATTCCTTCTTAGCCTTTGGCTGTAATCACCCCAACACATATTTCCTCTCTCAGTTTAAAAAGAATGTGTAGGCCTTGCTCCTCTTTCTTATTGAGAAATTCCATCCATCCCTCCTAGGCCACCGTTTGTCAAACCGAGGGTCATTAAATCCATTTGTTGGGACACAACTAGCTTTTTTCCCTTAATGAATAGAATACATCATGGTGCAGAGGAAATATCAGAGTGCATCACACACAGTAAATGTCATTTTTCAAAGCATTGGTTTCTATTATACATGTGCGCGAGCGCATATGATATAAAATACATATTGCGTTGAGGATCGTGGTCAAAAGAATCGAAAAAAAACCACCCCCTCTCTGGCTCTCACCCTGAGGCTGGGTGGCTGGAACCCAGTGAGGACCAGTGGCTGCTAGGCTAATGAAGGTGGGCATGTAGCTTCCAGCTTGTGCAGCACCCCATAACAGCACTTACTTGTCCCATAGCTGGTTTCTCTCAGGCCTAACCTTGGATACCAGCTAAGATGTCAAAAACGAAGGAGACCCTTCATGATTTGGTCCCTTACTCTCACAGTCTCATCTCTTCCCATATCTCATCTTACACTTTATGGTTCAGCTACATGGAACTTTTTTTTTTTTTTTTTTTTTTTTTTTTTTTTCTTTCAAGGCATGATTCTTTCACTTGCCTCCTGCTCTTTGCACATAGGATTTCCTTTACCTGGTCAGCTCCTCATTGGCCGTTAGGACTCAGTTATGGCATCACTTTTTCCTGGAAGCCCTCCCTGACCAACTAAGGCTCGGCTGAGTTTTTCTTCCATATTCTCAGATACATTGTATTTGTCTCTACCTTGTCATACTTCATGGTGCCCCCTTCCTACCAAGCTTCCTTTTGCCCTCACTTCTCTTACCACTGACCTGAGTCTGTATCTGGCCTACAGGCATCCGCTGTGATAGCACATGTCCGCCTGGTCGCTGGGGCCCCAACTGCTCTGTCTCCTGCAGCTGTGAGAACGGCGGCTCCTGCTCCCCAGAGGATGGAAGCTGCGAGTGTGCCCCTGGCTTCCGAGGACCCTTATGCCAGAGAAGTAAGGCTGAACCCCAAATGGCCCATCCTCCTCACCCCTTCCTAGTTGAAACTAATCCTGGCCTGAGAGAGGCTGGGCTCTCAGAGTCAGCCTCCATCAAATCCCTCCCTCTAGTCCCCTCTCCCTCTGCCTTGGCTTTTCTGTCCCCATGTTCTGAGCCCAGCCCGGCTCCTCAATGGAAACAGGACCAGACCACAGCTCCGCTCTGCAGAAAGGGACAGACCCTCTGAGGTGTGGGGTGGGTGTAGCTCTCCTCATACTTTTGTGGAGCCTACCTTCATCTCTATGTGGGATCAGAGGATGACCAGGCTGGCTGGGGCCCCCTGGGCTGCTGACCACATATCCCTTTCACCCCCAGTCTGCCCCCCTGGGTTCCATGGTCACGGCTGCACCCAGCCATGCCCCCTCTGCGTGCACAGCAGTGGGCCCTGCCACCACGTGAGTGGCATCTGTGAGTGCCTCCCCGGATTCTCCGGAGCCCTCTGCAACCAAGGTACTGTCTCTAAGGGAAGGTGGGGGCCAGGGAGGTGAGGGATCCTGGAAGGGAAGTGAGGCTTTGGGGATTCTCATACTCTGTAGAGGCAGCTCCTTGCCTCTTCAAGGCTCGTGCCTACCTTTCTAAGAACTAGGCACCACAGGGCATGAGACAAAGCCATGATGCAGTTAGAGGTACAGGCTCAGAGAGATTAAATCAATTCTCCATGATCTCACAGTTAGCAAGTGGCAGAGCTGAGAAACAAATTCTGACTCCAAAGCCCATGCTAAATGAATGGATGAAAAATGAAATGAGCAAAGGTGAAGTCCACATAAGAAGTGGCCCCAAATAGCTTATGCTGACTGCCAAATGGTAAAGGCAGAGAATGCTGTGGGAGCTCAGAGGGGACAGTTCTGGTTTCAGCTGGAGATGGCAACTTTGTAGCCCTTCTCCCCTCACATTCAGGCTGACATCACTAATCCCGCAGCACCTGCTTTCCTATCTCAGACGCAGAATTCTTTAAGACGCTAACTCCAGCCAACCTCTCCCACTCCACAGGAGTTGAAAATGGAGGAATAAGCTTTTCAAGGAGTTGAAAAGCTTATTTGCATTGGTATGCTGCAAAACTGGCTCCCTGGGGGGCGGGGGTGGGGTGGGGGGAGCCCTGGTTTGTAACATTTGCAAATTTCCATGATAAAATATTTCCACCATGGTTGATTCCAAGGTACCAGTGGCTTAGCACCAGTCACAGAATTCCTGAATAGTTAACAACCAGTGCAAAGGTAGAAGCTGGCTTTAACACATACCATTGTTTTTTGCCATCCCTTGCTTAGTTAGGCCAAGGCAGCATGGATTTGGGGGACAACTCCGTGTTGGCAGAACTTCAGTTGGGCCTTAGCCTGAAAAGCAGAGGAGGAGGAAAGGCATTCAGGTAGAGGAAACAGGCTGGGTGGAGCACAGGGGAGTCAACCTGAGACCGTCCAGTAGGGAATGGGTGAAGGATGCAGGAACTGGGGGTGGGAAAGGGGCCGAGAAGGTGGTCTGGAGCCTTCTGAACAGCTCTGAACACCAGGTTGCAAGAATTTGTACTCTAACCTGTAAGGAGCAAAGGGATTTCAGACTAAGGTAAACAGAGCTAAAAGCATCTTGAAGGTCATCTGTGCAAGAATCTCATCTGTCAGCTGCTTAAATACTTCCACTGAGAGCTCACTACCTCCCAGGGGAACTGAGTCTTTTGATGAATAATCACTACTGAGCTGGGCTATCTTTGTAAGCATGTGGGGCCTTAATATGTATGAATGAGTTTAGCCTATGATGCTTTGAGGTCATGAGAAGTTTGGGCCCTAGGGAAACATATGTGACAGTTTCATTTTCTTGCACCCCTCGTAGGACAGTTTAATCACAACCTGACATGTTGAGGTTTACTTATTAAACATCAGAGACTTAGCCATCAATACAGATAGGCTGGGTCTAAATTAGGACCTAAGCAGCCCGAAGAGTAACTCTCAGATCTTGCGATGTCTGATTTATCACCCACTGGCCTAATGAGTATTTTCCACATATAGATCTAATAGAGTTTGCTATTAATGGCAACTGCCCTGGTTAAGTCTCAAATCTCGTAAAAAATTGAACTGACACTTTCTAATGACCAGCTTTCCAGCGAGTTACAAATTACAGACACTGCTTATGCAGAATCATTAAACATAGATTAAATATAACCAGATGTTTTCTTTTCACCAGCCCCCTCCTTCTCTCCACCACCCCTCTCTTTGCCTTACTCTTGATTCAGCTAAGAAGTCAACCAATTAATGTATTAGACTGATCGCATTAGCAGCTCTGTGGGTGAATTTGTCAGCCTTGTGTATGTGAGAAAGACTTCAAAGATAAAATTGTCTTGTTAGAGAAGCAGAGAGTTGGTTTTAGGGGTGGGGGTAAGGTAGAGCAGCTCTGGCACCTCATTCTCACAGAGGGTGAGGACTGGGGGGAATAGGTTCCCCAAATCAAGTACCTCCCAGAGGCAGGGAAGAGGAAGCTCGGTGACACGCTTTTCAGTAAGCTGAAGCGGGAGCCTGAGCTGCAGACAGGTGGACAGGTGAGATGTGTGTCATCCTCCGGACCCTGGACCTGCCCTGGAAGGAGCTAAGGATTTTGCCAGGAGCACAGGGCCCCAATCAGCCAGCCTGTCCACAGCTATTAACTACAGCCTGAGACAGTGGGCAAGGCTTAGTATTAATGAAAATATATAATAATGGGAGTATTACAAGGGTAATTGAACTTACATTTGTGAAGCACTTTGAACAGTGTCTGGTGCATGGAAGTGCTTGTTGAATACATAAATAACACTAGGACCCAAACCCAAGGCTTTGGATTGGAGAGCTTGGTACACCATGCTGCCTTTATTATTTGTCCCAACCACTAATCATGTCCAGGAGAGGCATAGAGTGGACACAGGTCCTAGGCACCATGTATCCACAATCTGGTTGGGGAAGGACTGGCCATATGAGTGCCATGCGGTGTGGTATAAAGGAGAGAATGCAGCCCAAGATTTTGGAGACGTAGGCCCTGGGGAAGTTGCTTCTCTTTAAGAATCGATACCTCCCCCATGCTCCTCCATGTGGCTCAGGGATTCAAGGATTTCCTCTCGCATAACAGGAAGGCAAGGAAGCCTTCTTTGAGGATGTAGGGCTGGCTGGAACTGGGCTTTGAGGAGAGCATGCTGAACTGAGAGGAGCTCAAAGGGAGAGGTTTCCAGTAGAACTCACTGGAAGGTCGCTGCCGCTGGGGCCTATTTGGGCCATTTTGGAACATTTCCTGTGTGTTTGCTGTATGCCAGGTACTGTGCTGGACACTCAGACCCAATAAAGAACAAGACAGCCAGGTTTCCTGCCCTTACATAGTCTGTAGTCTAGCGGGGGAAATTCTGAGCTTAGCCTTTCCCAGTAGAACGTGGGAGTCAAGTCAGGGGAAAGGGATGGCCAGTTTATCTCCACATGTTCAGTCACCATGCCTTGAGTGCCTGTTGTTTTTCCAGGCCTCGTGGGGGACACAGATATGGGTGGAGCCCAGGTCTGACCTGAAACAAGTTCACAAGTCACAGTAACAGAAAACCAGGGAAGAAACCGATAGAGTGTTTTGGAATCTCAAAAAGGGACACATAGTCCCCCAGAACAGAGAACAGGGGTAAATCGGGTAGGATTAAGTTCAGCTATAGGTGACATAAAAACTCAAAATACTTGGCTTGAAAATAATGAGCATTATTTCTCTCACACATTAAAACAAAAAGAAAAATACACATAAGAAAGGTCCAGAAGGAGGCCACTAGGGAATGGTAGGGTAGCTTACAAGGACACCAGGGACCCAGGCTTCTCCTACTTTGTTCAGCCATCCTCCGCACAGGGCTTCCACATCTGATGAAAGATAACTGCTTGAGCTCCAGCCATATTACCCACAGTTCTCATCCCTAATCCACATTATCCTTCAACAAGGAGGAGGAACAGGCAGAGACACATTTCCACTTACCACTGGCCACATGTAGTCACATGGCCATACCCAACTGTGCAGGAGCCCAAATGAGGTCTTTATTCCAGGTGGCCATAGCCCCAGCTAAAACTGAAGACTCTACTAAGAAGAAAATTAATATCAAAAGACTAGCAGCCTCCTACAGGGGGTTCCTGGGGGAGGTGGCATTTGAGATGAGTCTTGTAGGCAGAGTAGGATGTCCACACCTGAACGTGAGGGTCAGGAAAATTCTGGAAGGGAACAGCTGGAGCAAAGGCAGAAAGAAAGGAAGGAAGGAAGGAAGGGAGGGAGGGAGGTAGGAAGGAAGAGAGAGAAGGGAGGGAAGAAAGGGAAGGAAGGAAAGGGAAGGAAGGAAAGGGAAGGAAGGAAAGGGAAGGAAGGAAGGGAAGGAAGGAAAGAAAGGCATGGAGTGTATTTGGATAGTGGTATGATAGACCAGTGGCTTATGTGTCTGGATGAGGTCGGTAAAGTGCTGATCTCTAGGATCCAGATTTCATTCCGGGGCAATGGGGAGCCAATGAGCATGTCAGAGCAGAGCATAGGAGCGCCATGAAGAGAGCTGTGCTCAAGTTGTAGGAGGAAGGTGGAGGATGAACTGCAGGGTGAAATGAGTGGTAGGTGCTCAATTAACACTCAGATTTAGTCCTAAAGGAGCTTGCATGCAGCCTAGGTGAGGAAACTAGCCCTTCCTCCAGGGACCAAGGAGTGACTCCTCCAAGAGGGCCTGGGACCAAAATCCTACAAGTGACTCAGAGTGGAAATACCATGGGAGCTCAATGAGAGAGAGCGCCCTGTGGACCCAGAGAGCTTTCTTGAGGAAGAGGCTGAGCTGAGGCTTGAGGAACAGGTCAGATTTGGAGAGACAGATGAAATAGGTGGACAGGGATAGCCAGTCCTCCAACAGTCTAACTGCAGACAGACCTGCCACCTACATTTGTCCCTCTCCTTCCAGCTACTGACATTCTCTGCCCTCATGGCTATGGGATCAGTGATGCCGGCAAGAGTGTAGTCATGGAAAACAGAATGCTGCGGAACAGTACAGGGGGCACTGGACTGAGTGCTCTCTCAGCCTCTCCACTTCTATGAGACCTAAGTCAAGTGATGCTACCCCATGGGCCTCAGTTTTCTCCTGTGTTGGAAAGGATCGTTAATAGAGCCTCCCAAAGAATGCAGCTATGGACACGAGGGGAACTCATTCATGTGCAGATGGAGAAGGGTGGTGGGGGTGCCGAGATGGGCAGTTTTACCCATGTCCATGATCCTAGGGTAGCTATGGCTGTGGCCTGGGAACTTCTGGGGATGCAGCTGTGGATGGTGGTCTGAGGATTACAGGTGGGAGGGCAGGTGCCAGGCTGTCTTGTGTCCACAGTGTGTGCTGGAGGGCACTTTGGGCAGGACTGTGCCCAGCTCTGCTCCTGTGTCAACAATGGGACCTGCAGCCCCATCGATGGCTCCTGCCAGTGCTTTCCCGGATGGATTGGCAAGGACTGCTCACAGGGTAAGCTACTGCCCCCTGGGAATGCCCTTAACCCGGGGTCAAGCCTCAAAACACCTCACTCCTTGCCCCTGGCGCGTCCACCTCCCAGGGCTGAAATCTTCTGCAGATAGGAATGTCTACCTGAGTCCCACTTAGCTCTCTAGCTAATATAATGAATTATTAGGATTGGTCACTGGCATTATTAACTGCTAATATTAAAGGTATTGACCTTGTTGGCATAGTACCATTAATGCTATTAATGCTGAGAGCACTCCATCAGCACCTGAGCAAGGAGTACCCCCTATGCTTGGATGGAGAGGAAGAGGAGGCAGGGACTGCCATGCTGGAGTTTGGAGGTAGGGAAATGAAGTGAGGGCAGGGCAGTCATCTCAGAGGGGTGAGGATGTCCTCAGGGTGGCCCACGTGAATGATGTTCTGAGTATCATAAGCCTGGACAGAGCATTGTAGGGGCTGTTCATATAGGTTGTACCCAATCTGATACAGAGTTAACAGGGGCCTCCCCATCTAAGGGTGGAGACACAGCCTCTGCCCTGTGGAGCCCCTTGGCTGATGCGTGAGACCTAGCCAGTACCCCTAGGGAGGTTCCAGTTAGATGGCCTGGCCTAAAGGAATTTCCATTCTGATGGAGACACAGGTGCCATCCTTAGAGAGCTCACCAGCCAAAAGAGAGAGCCCCTACCCTGGTTAAGTTCCCATCTTTGTGAGGAAGTTAGTATACATGGTATTCACACAGTAAACTGAAATGTTTACAGTTTACCACATGCGTCCCACTCCAAATCAGTCCTCTGAGAGGGAAGGTTCAGGAACCCTCACAGCTGGAAGAATGGGCAGAGAATCTGGACGACTGAGCCAATGGAGGAATGGAGGAATTCTGGGAAGAGCTGGAAGAATGGGCAGAGAATCTGGACTGAGCCAATGGAGGAATGGAGGAATTCTGGGAATGTTAAGCCTTCTGAAAGCCAAGAAATGCCACCTGAGTACCTCCTGGCATTTTGGCTCTGACGTGTACCTCCCCGCCTTTTCATCTGCTCCTCTCTGCCTTGCCCTCACCCTCTGCATTCCATCCATCCCTAGCTTGCCCAACTGGATTCTGGGGCCCTGCCTGCTTCCACACTTGTAGCTGCCACAACGGGGCGACCTGCAGCGCTGAGGATGGGGCCTGCCGCTGCACCCCGGGATGGACCGGACTCTTCTGCACACAGCGTAAGCCCCGCCTCCCAGCTATTTGGAATCCCATGCTGCGGCCTGCTGGCTGCCTGGGGCATTGTCTAGGCCTGCAGTGGAGAGAGGAAGGCGGTGGCCAAAAGGCTGTAAGACACTCCAGCTTCTAGGAGCATGGCTGGATTCAGGGGTTGATGGGCCCAAAATCCTGGAAGGGTAGGGCCATATGGTATTCCAGCAATCGCGAAGACCAGACCCTCCTTTTGGACAGTGGGGCCCAGAGTGAAGAGTGACCTGTGGCTGCACAGCCAGGTGACTAGCCTGGCCTCTGGTTCCAAGGCACCCCCTCAGTGTGAGAGTTCAGAGTATGGAGATGGCTCAGGTGCATGGTCTCACTATTCACCCCAGCTATCAGAGAGGTGGCAGAAGACAGACGGTTGGTCCCAGTTGTACCTCCAAAGTTGCCTCTACCCTGTTTCTCCAGGCTGCCCAGCAGCTTTTTATGGGAAGGACTGTGGGCACGTGTGCCAGTGTCAGAATGGCGCCAGCTGCAACCACATCAGCGGCAAGTGCACCTGTCGCACAGGCTTCACCGGGAGACACTGTGAGCAGAGTAAGTTGTCCCAACCTATGACCCTGGGTGTCGGTGCCAGGCCTCAGCCTCCTAGGTCTCTGCAAACCTGCTCCCTTGACTTCTGGAGCAACTCCCAAGGAAAAAAAAAACCTAAAGTTTGTTCCTAAATGGTGTTTGAAGTTTCTTCCTCCGGTTTGGGGGTGGGGTGGGGTGTTGAGGCGTAGGAGAGGCTTGAGGGAGTAATAAGGGAGTAGAGGGAGGCACAGCTGGTTTGATTCTTTGAAGCCCTTATGGCACCCAGCTCAGGGCCCAGCATGCGAAGAATGTTGCATAAATGTGTCAAGTGAGGAAAAAAGAGGGGTGAGTGTCCCCCAACTCAGGGCTAGAGGTGCTGTCTACCCCCAAGTATCAAACCAAAGCATAATAGGAACTACAGAGACTCTGTGAGACAGACTGGCTAATCAGCACAGATGTCCACATATGGGATGGGAAGGGTGAGTGTCGCTGTGTATCACTGTCTACCCCAACTTTTCGTGTTACACAGAATGTGCCCCAGGAACCTTTGGCTATGGGTGTCAGCAGCTATGTGAGTGCATGAACAATGCCACCTGTGACCACGTCACCGGCACCTGTTATTGCAGCTCTGGATTCAAAGGAATCAGGTGTGATCAAGGTAATACACAGACGGCAGAATCCCCAGGCAGAGGGCTGTGGAAAGGACCCCATGGACACAGACTCTGGGGAGATTCCAGGGAGAACAACTCGATTGTATAAGGATACTTCATGACTTCCCTTTATCGACATTTGGGAGAAGAGGAATAGGGTGGGCTGCAGAGGGGAGGCAGAGGCACCAGGGGCTAGAGAAGTAGATGGAGCAGGCAGCCTCTTGGTCACGGCTTCCCTGTGCTCATCTTTGGCAAGCTTCCTGTAGCCAAGCTAGTGCTGTGGAAAGGTCACTAGACCATTTGAAGATCTGCCAAATTCTGGTTCTGCCAACCTGCTAGGTGTCCTTGGGCAGGTCATTTCCTTTTGCTGGACCTGTTATGCCACATGCAAAGTAGAAAGAGATTAATCCCTGTCTTCCGCCACAGCACAAGGTTCTGCTGAGAGCCAAGGAGCCCAAAGGGGCTCAACCTTAGCTCCAGCTCTACAGTCAGAAGACACCCCTCCCCAACATAGAGCAGTTGTGAGGACCAAGTTGAGGTAATGTGAATAACGGACTCAGCATAGTGCCTGGCACATAAATGAGCACTTGATAAATGGTTTTGTAGACATAAAAACCCTTTGTAAAGTGCTACAACAAACATGTAAGGGATTATACTGCTGTTGATTCTAGGAGATGGGGGATAAGAATGGGCTGTTATCCACGTTAACAGAAAAAGGGCCAAGCCATTTACACTGCATTCTGATGGGGGTTAGCCCACCACACATATATCAAGATGGGTGTTGTGGGCAGTAATCCTGGGTATACTGGCATAGCGCTCAGCTTTCATTGTCAGTTTGTCATATGGTGCTTACAGTCCCTGGGGAGGGTGGGATTACTGTCCCATGTTACAAATGAGCAAACTGAGGACTCTTAAGTAAGTCATATCTAAGTCACACAGCTAATAAGCAGGGAGAGAGCTGAGTCCAATTTTTTCCAACTCCTGAGAAACCCAAATAGGGCCAAGACCAGAACTCAGGCCTCCTAACGTTAGAGGAATCTAGGCCTGGCAGATGAGATCTGAAGAACAAGGAGGCCTGTCCCAGGCTCAGGCCCTCCCTCCACCCGCAGCTGCCCTCATGATGGAGGAGCTGAATCCCTACACCAAGATCAGCCCAGCGTTGGGTGCAGAGCGGCACTCGGTGGGCGCTGTCACAGGTATCATCCTACTGTTGTTCCTCATTGTGGTGATGCTGGGCCTGTTCGCCTGGCGCCGACGGCGGCAAAAAGAGAAGGGCCGTGACCTGGCTCCCCGCGTCTCCTACACACCTGCCCTGAGGATGACCAGCACTGACTACTCCCTCTCAGGTAAGGGCTATGTGCCTGCACCCCACTCTCCTCCCCCTCCATATACGTACAATCCAGGAAGAGCCACGCCATATCCTTGGGTGGTTGTGCCTACAGGGTTGGTGGATGGGGCTGGATGCTCAGACTCCTCTAGAGAGATAATGGGGGTGACAAGCCGGAGCCTACTTGGGAAAGGTAGATGAGGCTTCATGGGGTATCATTTCCTGGACCTCCAGCACTATGTGCCTGCAGTTAGGAGCCTCCTTCCAATTCCCCAGATCTTCCCATCCTTCTGCCACAGGAATACCAACATTAAGCAATAACTTTCCTAAACTCTCCAGGGGAACCTCTCCCAAGCCTGATGCCTGTGACAGCAAAACTGGCCTTGGAGCCCAGCGTTGAGACCCTGACCCAATTTTGCTTCTTTGGGTGAAGGCCTCAGAGTAACCGTCCCTTCTCTGTTCCCAGAGTTAGAAGGGCCCTATTACTATAGTGAAAGGGGATGGTTCCCGACTTGGGGAGATCTGAAAGTGAGGGCAATGTCCCTTTGGCTAGGCCTGCTGGAACCCAGACTGTCCACAAATGTGGCAACTACTCCAATGGGTGTTCTATCTGGGAATCTGAATGGGATGAGGTTGGAGCTGTTGGGCCAGATCCTTCCTCTCCCCTAAACCATGGACTGCTGCCTTAGAAATAAGGAAGGCTTTTTGCTTCATAATTAAAAAGAAGAGGTCAAATGCTCTGAAACTGCCAGTAGCCCTGGACTACAGGAGGCTGGGCCTGTCTGGGTGAGCACAAGAATGACAGCCCACTCCAGCTGGCTCCATAGCTCATGGCTGACCTATACCTTGTGTTTAGAAAACCCATATCACAATCCTGCTAAGTGTGTACCGTGGGCCCAGCTCTATGCTAGGTACTGCAGGATAGACAGAGGCAGTCCAGATGCAGACTTTGCCTTTAGAGACCCTGGCCTGCATGCACTCCTCTCCTGCCCCCAGTTTCAGTCAAATAGGTATCTTCTGATGAAAGCCCAAGCCCACAAAGATTTAGGGACTTTCTTCTATGACTATAATGAACGGGTTGGCCAGGTTTCCCCATGTCATTCACTGGAATTCTCCAGCCCTGTCAAGAGGTCCTGCAATTCAAAGGGCAGGAGGACAAGACTGGGCCTCACTACTGGGATCTGACCCGGGGGGAGGGGGGAGCGGGGAGCGGGGGAGGATCAGCACAGATAAGCAGTGATTCAGGGACATAGGAGACTGTCAAAGCCAACACTCTTCCCTCATCCATGCTCCAGCTGCTGGTGCCACGACTAATCTGCATCCTGCAGGGAAGGCCACCACAAGGGAAGGGGCAAATCAGGTTCCACAGATTTCTGTGGGGTTAGTGGATGCCAGAAAGCTTGGGGGACTTGGCTGTCTTTTTGCAGAGCACTCTCAAGGCTGCCCAGCCCAAGCATCAGTATTGGGGCATCTCATGTCAAGGGCAGGAGTATGATGGTATGTGGCACCTTGTTCTCTTCCCAGATTTGTCTCAAAGTAGCAGCTATGCCCAGTGCTTTTCCAATTCCAGCTACCACGCACTGGCGTGTGGGGGGCCTGCCACCAGCCAGGCCAGCACTCTGGACAGGAACAGCCCCACTAAGGTACCGGGTCCCTGATTCCCCAGCCCCTATCCACTTTCCTCTCATTCAGCTCTCACTTCTGCTCAGGAAGGAACTATACACTCCACTTAGAGGGTCCATGCGGAACCAACTACCAATACATTAAATGCAGCCCTGTGCTCCATGGGACATGTAAACACTCTGTAAAGCATGTAGCAGGGTGCCAACAAGTTACATGAAGCTAGCAAGCACCATGTAAACAATAATATCACATGTAACCAACCCTGCTTGGTTAAATGATGTAAGCGTCGTTTAATGTAACATCTACCCCTACACCCTGTGTGTGACCAACCGGTACCAAGTCAGGTGATCAGATAGTCATGGGTAGCCTTCTTGTCCCACATGACCATGTATACCATGTAGCTACTTTTGTCACATGTTAACACCTGTGACCAATACACTACACTGCCAATCACTGCAGTACATTACCAACACCATGTGTACAACCAGCACATTACAGAGCAACCACTGTACTCTGGTAGCCACCTGATGTCCTTGTACCTAGACATATCACCTGTCATCAGTATATACAACCATTTGTTGCAGTCAGAACCAACAAAAGGGACGTGGAACCCAAACGTCAGCCATAGACAGTGTTCTTACTGACAGTCCTATAGGTCTTCCCTCTCAGCTCCCAGCAGAGCCCTGGGCTGGTGGCAAGATGTCCTCTTATAGGCCTTTGGGCAAGGATGTCTCAGAACACACATGCAGTGAGCCCCCTTGGTGTGCTAGGACCCATACTGCACAGAGTGGGAGGTTCAGAAATAAGGAACAGCCTCAAGGACTGTTCTGATGGGCTCATGCTACACACACACAATAGCAAGATCAGCCTCCTGGCTTCCTATAACACTCATTCTGGGAACACGGACAGGAACAGTTTTCATACTCCAGGTCTCTGCCCTAGAGTTCTGGGAAACCTTTCTCCCTGTCTGCTCCACAGAAAATGTCCATCAGCCCACAGACTATGCTACTGCCACAGAACTGGCAATATAGCCTGAACCCCCTAACAATAACACGGACACTGTACAGCCCCTAGGGCAACAACCCTCAAGCCAGCACCCCACGGCCACTCTCTTCAGGGACACTCAGCCTCAGATTTCCTGCAAAATGGGAGTGCTGCATTCAGGATGCCTTGAGGCCCACATGCAAGGTCTGTGGCCATTAGCCCTGTAGCTTAAGGCCCCCTTCCAGTGCATCTTCTCAGCTCAGACCCCATTCCTAGCTTCAGCATTATTAAGCTTATCTGAGTTGCTGGAAGCTGAGGGAAGGGGATGCAGACTTTCCCAGAAGGAGGCCCTTGATTAACTGCTTTATCAAGGCTGTAGCAGGTTAAAGATGAAGGATGCCAGGGATGAAAGGCAAAGGCCCCGTCATTCTTGGTCTCATTCTAATAGGAAATTCAGTAAAGGGCTGGAGTTATGCCGAGATCCACCTGGCGACCCTCTGGCTCACCTAACCCCAGTGGCCCACAGTGGTTCTGTGTGGTCAAGGACTCCTCAGCCTGGCAGATGTAGCAAAGATAGGCAGTTGTGATGACAAGGAAAGGATATGGGTCTGGTAGGTGCGACCTGAGTTGACTCAGCTCTGCCACTGACTCCTTGTATAACCAAAAGCAAGGCCAACAAGCAGGACTCAGATTCCCATCTGGGAAATGAGGACAACCATCCTTGCTTCCTCATACAGCTGTGAGAATGCAAGAGGAAAGATTATACTATAAGCACATCCTATCTGAAGCTTTCCTTTGGTCATATGAAAGGGTGAATCACATTCGGGTCAGGTGGCAGAGTGACAGTGATATTGTAGGCAGCCTCAGCTCCTCCCTCTGCACTGGACATGGCCTTGTGTAGCAGCTGAGACACTCCCAGAGCCCCTTCTCCTATAGCTCAACCCCACCCAGCTGACCTACTTCCCCTGTCAGGGCTAGCTTGGCTCAGGCCAGTTCTTGGCTCTTGGGATGATCTGCCCCTGCCCCGCTTTACCCCAAGGACCTGAGAACCCTACAAGTTCAGCCAGACAGATCAGGGTATGTTCTGCCTCCTCTGGCCTCAGCTGTACCATGGTGGCTTGTCATGGAACACCTAGCTCTCCTTTTCCTTCAACGATCTAGGCCCGTGGTGGGTCAGGATCACCACAGGGGTGGGTGCACAAGGCTGGGCAAAATGAAGGCGTGGCAGGGGCAACTCTGGAGCACTAGGTATTAACTGGCTCTCCTACTCTCCAAACAGCTCAGTAACAAGTCCCTTGACAGAGACACAGCAGGCTGGACCCCCTACAGCTATGTGAACGTGTTAGGTCAGTAGTGGTCCCCTGCCATCATGCTGCACCCTGTTCTCCTCCTCTACATTGAGGTGTTGGGGGGCGGCGGGGGGGCTGTCCTAACTCTGAGAGAGAGAGTTAGTAGACAAATCCTGAGCATGATTTCCCCCAGGAGAAAGGGTATGGGGAGGAAACCCAGGTCCCTATTTCAGCTCTTATAAGCAAACGAAGCCTAGAACCTTCTTCATTCCTATACTAGGGGAAGAGGGAGAGAGTGGCTATGACCCAAGGACCAGGGAGACAGCTAGGGCCCCAGATGTGGGGATTCCAGATGGAGGCAAAAGATGCAGTCACCATCTGGAAAAGGAACCCCTGCCTGGCACAGTTCCTACTAAGGTACCCCTTTCAAGGGTTTCTTCCCTCAGCCCACTGCTCTGGCGGGTAGGGGAGGAAGCGTGGGCAGGGAGTGAGAGGAAGCAAGGCTGATAGCCTGAGCACTAGCAAATCCCCCTGGCCCTGCTGGCCCAAGCCCCTTTAGATGCTATACAAAAAAAGCCCTAATTCTTTCCAGCATGTCCTACCTTGTCCCTCATCCCCCACCTTTCCTCACTCCTACCATACCAGGGCCCTGGGAATAATGGCTCCTCCCTGTCATTCCTCACTAGACTCCCATTTCCAGATCAGTGCCCTGGAGGCCAGGTACCCGCCCGAGGACTTCTACATTGAACTTAGACACCTCAGCCGCCCCGCTGAGCCACACTCGCCAGGTTAGATCCCCAGCCCTACCCTCTATCTCTGGGCCTTTAGGCTCGCATACCAGTCTAGACCCAGCACCTGCCCTGACTCCCATTCCTGCCTCTTGTTTGACTCACCCCCATTGCTCCCAAAACTCTCTCTGTTGAGCCCCACTTCTTCCTGACATTAGTCACAGCCCAGTCCCCTAACAAATGAAACCTGTTTGGATCCCCCATCACCCCTTTTGTTCCCATCATGGTCTGTGGATGTGGACAAATTATGACTAGTATTAGGTAAAGGGGACATAAAGTAGTTGCATTCCCTGCAACACAATTCAAAACCACTGAGAAATGACCTGGGAACGGCAACACCTTTGGGGGGGGTCTCTGGGTGTGGATGACAAAGAGTTGTCTCTCTGGCCAAAAAGCCCAAATGTCACCCAGAGAGAGAACCTAGACTCACCCATGGCCCAGGCCAAACTCTCATAGATCCTAGGGTAGGGGTGTCAAGCAGAGATCTGTAGAGGTTGA